TTGGAATACAATACAGCTGATTTGTTGTCACAATATAACTTAAGTGGTCTTTCAATGCCTTTCACAATTTACAGCCCTGTGACAAAATTTCTCAGCCATATTCCATGATTCGACGCCTCATAGCATGCTACAAATTCTGCTGCCATAGTGGATGAAGCTGTAAGGGTTTGCTTGACACTGCGCCAAGAAACCGCACCACCTGCTAACATGAAAATGTAACCTGAAGTGGATTTCAAACTATCTTGACATCCTGCAAAGTCCGAGTCAGAAAACCCAGCGATCTCCAACTGGTCTGACCTCCTGTATGTGAGCATGTAATCTTTTGTTCTCTTTAAATATCTCATGACCCTTTTTGCTGCTTTCCAATGGTCCATTCCTGGATTGCTTAAATATCTGCCTAGAACCCCAACTATGTATGCTATGTTTGGACGCGTACATACTTGGGCATACATCAAACTCCCTACAGCTGATGCATAGGGAATCTTTTGCATTTCCTCAATTTCCAAATTTCCCTTTGGGCACTGATTGAGACTAAACTTGTCTCCCTTAGCAACTGGAGTATCCCTGGATTTACATTCATGCATGCCAAACCTTTTAAGAATTTTTTTCGATATAGCTCCTTTGTGATAATCCTAAAATACCCCGACATCGATCTCGGTGTATCTGAATTCCTAATACAAAGGACGCATCACCAAGATCTTTCATTTCGAAATTCTTTGATAAAATTTTTTTTTTAGTTTCGTGCAATATGCCTATATCATTAGTGGCAAGTAGAATGTCATCAACATACAAGATCAGGAAAATATACTTACTTCCCTTAAACTTGTGATATACACAATCATCAACAATATTCATCTCGAAGCCAAATGAGAGAATTACTTGATGAAATTTATAGTACCATTGACGAGATGCTTGTTTTAGTCCATAAATGGATTTTGTCAGTTTGCAAACCATACTCTTTGAATCTCCCTGTACAAAATTTTCTGGTTGCACCATATAAATCGTCTCATCAATGTTGCCATTAAGAAACGCCGTCTTGACATCCATTCCATGAAGCTCCAAATCATAATGTGCTACAAGAGCCATGATTGTCCTAAAAGAGTCTTTCGATGAAATTGGAGAGAAAGTCTCTTTAAAATCAATCCCTTCCTTTTGAGTATAGCCCTTAGCTACCAGACGAGCCTTATACCTTTCCACATTACCTTTAGAATCCCGTTTGGTCTTAAATATCCACTTGCAACCAATGGGTCTTATACCTTCTGGTAATGGGACAAGTTCCCAAACCTTGTTGTCTTGCATGGACTTATACTCCTCCTTCATTGCTTCAATCCACTTTTCAGAGTTAGAACCTTGCATGGCTTGACGGAAGTTAACTGGGTCATCTTCCATCATACCATTGTTTTCCTCATGTTCCTGAAGAAATACCATGTAATCATCCGAAATAGCATTTCTTCTTTCTCTAGTGGATCTCCGCAAAGTTATTGGCTCATGATGCACAGGTTCTTGAGGATCTTGAGTTTGTTCTTCATGAACAACCAAATCATCTTGAGTAAGGGGTTCATTAACAATACCTTGTGGAGGTTCGAACTTACTTCATCAAAAGTAACTGTTTGAATCGGTTACTGGAATTGTTACCGATTCTTCCTCCAAGACAAAGTTCCCGATTTTATTCTTCCCCCCAAACTCAATATCCTCAAAAAACGTAGCAGTTCCAGTCTCAAAAATTGTCTTTAATGTGGGATCATAAAATTTATATCCCCTGGATCTTTCAGGCATAACCAATAAAATAACTACTTACCGTTCGGGAGTCCAATTTCTTTTCATTTGGCTTATAAGGCCTTGCCTCAGTTGGACATCCCCACACATGGAAATGCTTCGAGACTAGGTTGTCGCCCAGTCCAAAGCTCATAAGGTGTTTTGGTCGCTGCTTTAGTTGGTACTCTGTTCAGAATATAAGCTGCCGTCTTTAGTGTCTCTCCCCAGAGTGACTCCGGTAAGGTGGAATGACAAATCATACTCCTGACCATATCTTTAAGAGTTCGATTTCGTCTTTCAGCTACACCATTCATGCTAGGTGATCCCGGCATGGTATACTGTGGGACAATTCCACACTCCTCTAGGTACCTGGCAAAAGGTCCTGGACGCTGTTCACCTGACCCGTCAAATCTGCCATAGTACTCACCACCACGATCAGATCTGACAGACTTAATTCTTTTATTGAGTTGATTTTCAACTTCAGCTTTAAATATTTTGAACACGTCTAGAGATTGTGACTTTTCATGTATAAGGAATAAGTATGCATATCGTGAGTAATCGTCTATGAATGATATAAAGTATTGTTGACTATTCCACGAAGGTGTAGGAAATGGCCCACAAATATCCGTATGTATCAACTCTAAGACGTCTGTAGCTCTATATGCACTTGATCTCTTCGCTTTGGTCTGTTTGCCCTTAATGCATTCAACACAAACATCAAAGTTTGTGAAGTCAATGGACTCTAAGATTTCAGTTGACACAAGTCGTTCAATTCTATTTTTAGAGATGTGACCTAAGCGCCTGTGCCATAATGCTCCTGAGTGAGTATCATCAATTTTACGTTTAGTACCCCGTGATTCTGTATTAAGGGTTTCATTATAGGTGGTCACAGTATCAAGTAAATACAGATTATCATAAGGCAAAAGTGAACCAGTTCCAATAATATCTGAATTAAAAGACAAACTGAACTTATTGTTTCCAAATGAACACAAATAACCTAATTTGTCCAGATAAGAAACTGAAACCAAATTCTGTCTAAATGACGGCACAACAAAAGTGTCTTTCAAATCCAAATAAAAACCAGTACTCAATAACAATTTAAAATGCCCTATGGCTTCCACCTCTATCGATTTGCCATCTCCAACATATATCCATCTTTCAGAATCAATTGGCTTCCGGTAGCTTAGGCAACCCTTTATAGAAACACTGATGTTAGTAGTTGCACCTGAGTCTAACCACCAAGTGTTACTAGGTACTGACGCTAAATTGACTTCAGAACAGACCAAAGTAGGAAACATACTATTGAGGATCGGAACATAATTTAAGTTGGCAGATACAGAAGCATTTGTAGATGGATTAGAACAAAAGAAATAAACTAATTATGCTCACATTATAAAAAATAAATAATTATAAATAAAATATATATTCAAATAATGGTTTAACCCATCTCAAGACACCCAATGCACCATCAATATCAAGTCTTTGGACAGGTAATATTAACTGCTAGAGGTATCTTGTTGTAATAATCAAACATTGACAATAAAGCACGTCCAACAACAAACCAGGTCTTTAGATTGATTTATCATCGACAAAGCAAATCCTTATAATTATCACATGTTTATCATTACAAGTGTGTGTGCAATTCGGCCAAATATTAATCTTCCTTTGGCTGACTAATACTCGCATGAATATACACAAACACTAACATTCAATATTTTTCACGAACTACCCAATTCAAGAGATGTTACTTTGGTAACTTCTTGACTCAATTTGCTCACAAAAATATTAAACTACTAAAATAAAATATTTTATTTATATAATAAAACTGAATATTTTAACTAATAAAATCATGTTGCGCAAGAATTAACACTGGAATATTAATTCTCCTGTGACACCACATGCACCCAATTCTTTAGTTGTTAATTTACTGGAATGTTAATTCTCGTGTGGGGACCACCGCATGAATTTACTGGAATGTTAATTTTCGTGGGGACCACCGCATGCATGAAACTTGTTGCCATTGCAGCTAAGCTCGTGAACACACTCCCCTAATCCAAGAGTCCAAACCCTGACAGAGTCCTCACTGACAGATGCCAGGAATTCCCCAGAAGGATCCCAACGTTTTATTTTCTCTCTCCTCAAAATCCTCCATTCTTATTCACCGTGCACTTATGGACGGAGGCCGTCACTCTCCCTTAGTCATTCTCCAAAGGAAAGACGCATAATCTACCCGTGGGACCGGACTAAGTTGCCCCGGGTCAAGAAACGGGTTAGAGGACCGAGGTAACTCGGCGGCACCGGTGTTAACAACCACCGCAAGCCACTTCCCTCCATTCTCCTTCTTCTGTTCACGAACAAAAGAATCAACTTTTCGAGACTCTCCTCTAGTTGCCCTAAATAACCCACCAATTCGTTCAACTCACCCACTTCAAAATTTTTTTTTTTAATCTCTCCCCAAGTTCATTCACGCGCAAAAAATCCTGCACGCTCCTATAATTCTCGCCGGATTTGGGAATATACCCCAAATTCGAAACTAGGTTTTAAAATTGGGGATTTTACCCCAAATTTGAACGTAGGGTTTATAAAATTGGAAGATTATACTCTAACTAGGGTTATTATTAACCAGAATCTGAATTTTCTTAAATGTAATTTCCAAATACAAACATGAATCAAGTATGGGTTGCTCTGATACCAATTGTTAGGTTAAATTTTAATTGAATATGATCTTCATCCTAATGATCAAACATATATCTATAATCCCATACTGAAAACATGTTATATAAACTAAATGCGAAAGTGTACCTGAATTAGCCATAATATTCTTTGTAGAAGCACCTTTGAATTGATCTTATAGTCTTCGCATCGAAGAAGCGCTGTATTTCCCTATGGATTTTCTCTCTGATGGGGATAGAAAGAAAAGAACGGGACTGTATCTCGTATTCTGTCCGTGTGCTTCTCGAAGAGGACCATGACCCTTTATATAACCAAAATTAGGTTAATTACTTAAGTTTTAGTATTTTCAATTTAGCCCTCATCAAATTAAAAATTACTACTATGGTCTCTACACAATCATATTTTCAATGACATATGCCTTTAGCAAAACATTAATTTATTCAGATCAACTTTATTATTTGGCTTAATAAATAATGACCCTAACACATTTAAATATATATCATATATATACATGACCCAAATTTTGCCAACACCTTCCACCTGAATCCGATGTTGCTTCTGCGGTTCGGTTCATGGTGTCGCGCAAGAAGTTCACGAAGCTGCTTGTGGAACCGGAGACATTCTTAACGTTGAAAATAAAATATTCTGGAGACGTGGCCAAGGTGGAGAAGAAAGGCACGTTGGAATACCGAAGCATGCATTCAGCGTACCACATCACAGCCTCTATGGACTGGGAACATTCTGGGTCTGTTGATAACTTAAAGGTTGCATTCCCCACGCATTCATTGCACAGGCGTAAGGGTATGTCACCCCTACACATGAACAAACCATACAACGTGTTGTTTATTGTGGTGTTGTAGAATAATTTAGCGATGGCGTTGGAATTGAAGGAAGAGAGGAGGGTTATCAGGTTTTGGTAGGTGCTGGTCGAAGATGTCATGAATGCACTGCAGTTTTGGTGCTCAAAAAAAACCTTGTCCTCTCTCTGTGCTTTAGTGGTTGGGAAGCTGAAGAAGGTAATCACAAAGATACAAAGAAAGATAAGAAAGATGAGGTTATTGGAAGGCATGGTTCTGTTCATGTGCAACGATGGATGGCATGGTTTGATCTTCAGTGTCCAGATTTTCTTCTTTGTCGCAATGGAAACTTAAAAACTCTGAGGGATTGGTGTGTGCATGCATTAGCAAGTCAAGTCAAAGTCAACCACCCTCTCATTGTCTTTATAATTTTTTACTATATTTATATGTTGACAATGCCTCCAATGAAGTTAGAAAATGTCAAAATGAGATACCAAAAATATAAATTTTCATTTCACATTAAATAATTACACTCATTCGTCGGATGAAAGAAATGTGTTCGGAAGATACACGGCATTAAATTTTATAATTAACTAAGAAAATTAGTTATAAAATTTATTTTTCCCTAATTTGTAGTTAACTAGTTATAGAATAATAGAATAATGAAAGAATAAGATTGTAGCTAATTTGTAGTAAAATAGTTAAAAAACTAATATTTTTTAACTATTGTCTCACTTAGCAAAAAAATAATTTAGTTAGAAAATTTTTTGTCATTAATCTCTCGCTATAAATATTAGCTATATTACTTTTTGAAGTTATTTCCTAGTTAAATTGTGTAACATATAATCACAGTTAAAGCTGTAGCAAATTTATAGTAACTATCAAATTGAAAAAAATATTAAATTATTGGGAAACATTCTTATAAATTATTTTAGTTTTATAAAAAAATATTTATAATACTTGTAAATTTCTCTAAAAATATATAATTATAAAAAATAATTTTTGATCTTTTTGAAAAAAATATCAATAAAAATTAATTACAATTTTTTCTTAAAAAATTATTTTTACCAAATTTACTATAAATATATAATTATATATATATATATAAATTATTTTTTTATCTAAAATAAATTATTTAGAAATAATTATAATTTTTTGAAAAAATATCTAAAAAAATTGATAAATATTTAAAATTATTTTTTGTAAGTTTTTTATAAATTTAAATTTGTTAGAAATATTTAATAATATTTAAATTAATAGAAAAATTTTATAAATAATACTTTTTTATAATTTTTTTAAAAACTATTCTTTATAAGAAATAAAAATAATTTATATTCAGAAATACTAATTTATTTATTTTTTTATAATTCTTTTAATAAAAATCTAAATTAATTTTTTTTCATCTTCTCTCTACTTAATTTTCTCAAACCTAAAGCATCGCTGCCTCTCTCTCCCTCCTTCCCCTTGTCGCTCCCTGCCGCTGCTGCTGCCGCTCCTTGCCCCTGCTGCTGCCGCCCCCATCCACTGCTGTTGCCGCTGCCGCTCCCCTACTGCTCTTGCTCCCGCTCCCGCGCTGTGCCGCGGTGTTTTTGGTTTTGTTTAAGCGTGCAAAATGTTTCATGTGGTTTTATAAATATTGTAATAATTTTGTTTCAGGGCTTATGATCGTGCTGCGATCAAGTTCCGCGGGGTTGATGCGGACATCAATTTTAACGTTAGTGACTACTATGAAGATATAAAGCAAGTTGTGAGTACTGAACACTGAAGTGGTTTTCGTGTGTTGGTTGTTTAAGAAGCTTGAATGGAATTTTGTAATTGTGGATTTGATTTTCGATTATTGCGATGTGCAGATGAGTAATTTCATGAAGGACGAGTTTGTGCATATTCTGCGTCGACAAAGCACTGGTTTTTCAAGGGGAAGCTCCAAATACAGGGGAGTTACTCTGCATAAGTGCGGGTGATGGGAAGCTCGTATGGGGCAGTTTCTGGGTAAAAAGTGAGAAAACAAATATATTTGGTTGAATTAAGTGATGGATGAACTTCACATGCTCTACCCATTTTTTCATTAGTTTTCGATTTTTCTATGAATTAAGTGAGATTGTGTAGGCTGGTTTAGTTGGTGATAGATCAGAATTCAATTTTAAAGTTGTCCAGGGTTTATTGCTGCAGGTGTATATATCTTGGGCTCTTTGACAACGAGTTAGAGGCTGCAAGGTTTTACCAATCGTATATCAGAATATCTCTCAGGCTAAATTCCTAAACATTTTGGATTCCATGTATATACAAACACACGCATAGTGTACTATTTTTGGAAGAGAATCTAGGTTGAATTGGTATGGTATCCGTTAGGAAATGTTTGTTGCATACGAGGAAAAATGACATTCTTAAAAGAAATACATGACATCCCTAAAATACTACGATCGAAAACGTTATTTTATAGACAAACTAGGGTGTAAATATGTGTTGGATAGATGGAGAACAAATATTCAGAGGAAGCATGTTTATATAAAAACGAGCTATGGTGTCAGCATTTTGAACCTCATGTGCAGAGGTTTGAACTGTTATGCAATCAATTCAATAGTATTGTTGTTTCTGCTGCTGAATTCGAGGGTACAAGTTCTTTTGTGAAGGATACCCTATATAACTTAAAGGAGAAACTCGAAGCATGGACATCGTTACTGAGAAACTCTTCTCATGTCGACGTAGAGAAAGGCAAATAATATGATAGATTGGACATGAAGTTTTCAATGATTTAATATTACTTCAATTAATGTAAATATGACTAACTGTAATTGTAAAAATTATCTTATGGATTTTCGTTATCATAGATTCTTAAAATTTTTGAATGGTTACTGTTGATGATTTTTAATTATATCTAACTAGTTTTCGTGCAATACAGAGGGACATATGCAAAGAATTTTTAAGATACTTTAGCAATTGTATTAATGATATATATCTATATTCAAATTAATAAGAGAACAAATTAAAATCCGGGTAGCTGTTAAATAACTACCCGGATTTAAAACACTAGTTGAAACCAAGTTTTATTCATCTGCCAAGAATCAGCATTTTCACAGTTTACTTGATTGGCTAGTGAAAAGCTTCAGTTACTATACACATCAGTTGTTTGCATGTTTACGCTAATAACTTTTTGATATATTCAAAATCAAATTTTTTTTCTTAAATTGCAGGTTGAGGCACATCCTAGGCAGGTTGGTTACAAACAACTTTGGTTTCATCACTTGTTATTTTACTCTATCTGATATTCTTCTCATTTCATAGCTGCATAATTGGGTTGGGGGTCCTCCTAATCTCTATGATATAAGTGGAAGTGCACACTTCATAAATAAGTGTGACAATGGAATTGTTATTCACCGAAATCGGGATCCTGAAGCTGGGCCTATGGACCAAGTACAGGTGAGTGATTGCAGCATAATTGTGCTTATTTTTGTATCATAATAAACAAAATACACTGACTTAGGCTTGTCTCAGGTATGTGTTCGAAAGGTACGGAACAAGGTGGCAGGGACAATAGGTGAAGCCATATTGTTGTATAATAGGTAAATATATTTTTCCTAGACTACTGTGTTAACATAAATTCACCTATTTTTTAATAAGTAGAGTTTCATTATACTGGAGTACATGATCGGGGATTATGATGAAACTTATCGTAATCTCTTCACTCTTAGTGTGAATATAATGGATAGAGTTGGCTCTCTTGCAAAAGATTTTATCCTCATAAACCCTTCAGACTGTGCTACTCCAGTGAAGCACTCTAAACTAGAAAAGTGAGTTCACACCAACAGATAACGAATTTTCTTTGGCAAATGACAGGACAACTGGTGAGTATACACCATTAGATAATAAGAGATCAACTGATAGAAGGAACTAGCAGTGAGACAAATGATTTTTCAGTAGGCTTGTATAGTGGTCAACAACAGCTACGTCTTACAATGAAGTTAACATCTGATACTCGAATCGTGTCTAAACATGGCCATAATGTTTTCATTGGGGTGCCAGGTCGAGATCAACAATGCTGAATAGCATCCTTAACATGGTTGGTTGTAGAATATCATTGTTTTGGCTTCATTATTTGAAAATCTTGTATCCTATAGTTGTCCTTTTATACTTGTTACAATCACATATTGATTTTATTTTCAAGTATTGCATCTTAATCCTTGTATATTGATAGAGAGATTTCTTTGTCGGATACCCTATTCTAGACTTGTCTTTAGTAAAAACATTCATTCTAATTCTTGATGGTATAAATTGTTATTTGCTTTGGTCCTTTTCTATTCTATAAATTGAGATAATAGATTATGTGCAAATGATAAAAAAAAAATTAACTGAAATAGATTTTATTAAATCAGAGAGAAATGTAATTGACATTTACAATTTCAGAAACTAAATTGAGGATTTACTCGGTGAAGGGTAATACATCCTAGGCAGGTTGAGGCAAGATGACAAGTGGGAAAATGATTTCTTTAGCGATGGTGAACCACTGATCACTAGTATGAATTATGTTATTCTCATAGGCAACTATACGTTGCTACTTTTGATGGATGACAATAGCTAATTTTTTTTTTTTGACTTGTTAATGCTTGTGATTGTGAAGATCGCAAAGTTAGAGCTCAAGATCTACACCTCAAGCTTCAAAGGAAAGGTCTTCAATCTGCATCTCGGAGCGGAAAGAGTTATGCTCCAAACATGCGTGTTCTCAGTGAAAGGCTAACGGGAACAATGACGAGTACAACCTACAAATGTCGATCCGCCAAAATCAAAAGTTGTTAAACTAAGCAGTAAAAATGTTGGTGTTGAGGTCCCTGCAGTACAGATCAAAACGCCATGAAACAACAAATTCAAGAAAAAATGCACTCTTTAAAGAAAGATTAATTATACTGCCTTAAAGAAACAATGATAAAAATATACTTTAAACTTTGTTTCTATTTTTAATTGTGTTATACAAAACTTTTTAGTTGAAATATTATTTTTGTTATGTTTTAATTGTTTAAAACATCATTTTAACTATGTTTAAACAATATTTTTATATTGAAATTTGATAAGTTTATCTTCTTTTTTAAGAATGAGTAATAATTTAAATCTTAAATATTTGATATTATAAATTTTGATAAAAATTACGAGGGATTAGCTATGAAATATAGCGAGAGAAACATTGTAAAGGATTAGTTACGGATTAGCGAGGAAATAATTGCGAGGCATTAACCACATATTAGCTAGAAATAAATTGTCAGGGATTAGCTACAGATTAGCAAGAGAAAAATTGCTAGGGATTAGCTACGGATTAGTGAGAGAAAAATTGCGAGGGATTAGCTACGAATTAGCGAGAGAAAAATTGCGAGGGATTAGAGAGCAAAATTGCGAGGGATTAGGTACGGATTAGCGAGAGTGTGAAATTGCGAGAGATTAGCTACAAGTTTTGGGAGATCAAATTAGCTAGAGATAAACAAAATTTCATCATTTAAATTAGCGAGGGATTTAGCGACAAAATTTGCTACAAGTTTGAGAAAGACTACGTCTGTATCTAATTAGTTACTTGGATTTAGCTACGGACTATTCCATAACTATTCCGTAGCTAATCTGTAACAAAACATACCAGCGAAAGATTAACTATAAAATAGCTACGGAATGTGTGATAGCTAATATGTAAAATTCTTGTAGTAAAATTCTTGTGGTTATGAAAGAGTACTTGGATTATATAATGATTTTCTATTTTTCGTTTGTTAGAATAACGGAGGATTAAAGTACACAAGAATTTAACTAATATGAAATAGTTTACCACTTTCAGCTTGGAGAACAGTACAAAATTAAGAATCTTCAATTTGGTAGCAACGTTCTAATAAGAATCCGGTGAAGTTTTGATCCAGGAACATGTTTTTAGAGTCATTGTTTCTTGAGTTCCGAGCATATATATTAGATTTAGCTTTTGTTTTTTCTACCTTTTAATTAGGGTTAGAATGAAACCGTTAACAAAAAGGTGTTAATATTATGGGAATGTGTATTTTCTCTGGTAAAAAAACCCTTGATATATGGTAAAATATTATACTGTTACTGTTTTAAATCTCCAACTTTTAAATAGAAATATATTATATAAGTTACATTAAGTCCTTCGCTTACAGAATTTAAATTCCAACAATTTTAGTGGAGGATTCAGCATTGTGCTGGAAACATTGAAGACCAGTCAAAATTGTTATCATAGAGTGAAAGAAATTTATTTCTAAAAGTAGAAGGCTTTTAAGGGTGAAGGTGCAATAAATAAAATAATCTAACACAAATATTATTGATGAAGAGAACCACCTTGATTTGAATATATGCTGGACATAGAAATTTTGGTACATATATAATTTATAATATTGTAGAACTAAAGCTACATAACCCATATATACCAAATGCTAAGGACTTTAATAAATAGATCTCCAAATTACTTTAAATAATATAGAAATGTATTTAAAAGTTAAAATAAAATTGTAAATTATATTTGGGACGAGTTTAAAATATTTTTAGATTAGAGCATATGAAATATTCAGTGGTACAGTTGAAAATTAATATTTATGATTTTGATCTAAAATTGAATGATTATTAAATATATTTGTTTATATATTTATAAATTTAATTTTTTAATGTTTTTATATTTATTTATTAATAATATATTATTTGATTTTTTTTAATATTTATTTATTATTTATTAATAATATATTATTTCATTTATCATATTTTGCTATATATAAGAGGGACGATATTTTGTATTACGTGCTCTGTTACTTCATGCTGCCGTGGTAATAAGTAAATTTGATTGTTCATCATTATGGTTTAAACTCATACTTATTAGATCACTTAATCACTTTTTACTGTGTTATATCTAAAAATATAAGAGTATCCGAAGTTAAGTTCATGTGACATAACAATTTATTTTATTTTAATTTTAAAACTAATTTGAATATACATATATTTTAAAAAATCAATTTACTATTTTACAGACTTAATTATAACAATGTTTTCTTTCTTAAACCCTTTGTGTTATTCCCTCAAAACCAAAACCTTAACTTTCCAAGAATCATAAAAGCTCCTATGAAAAAAAGAAAATAATAATAGTTCTCTTTTAAAACATATTTTATACATATTTTAATATAAATAGTAAGGAAAAAGATATTTAAACAACTTGATTTTTTTTCTATGAACCCTTTCATGATTATTATATTAAAAAATCTATTTCTCAAATGGATTTTTTTAATATGGTTGTCGTGAATAAATAAACCCTTTCATAAAATATCTGAAAAAAAAAGAGAATAAAAGTGAACACTTTATATTAAACCTAATATCTTGTATTCTAGATCACGTTTAAAGATATCCACCAATTCATTCAAAAACCTTGTCAAAATATTTACTCAATAATATTAATTATAAAGAGACTTTTTTTTTTTTTTGTTTAAGAATGAGACTTTACTCTCGTCTACTATAACGTCAATGTTCTGTTTAGGAATGAGATTGTTCCGGACACACGATAAGTACCAATATGTTTCATCTAGGAGATCAATTCTCACATTTGAAGTATTGTCTATTTTAAACCTCTTATCCGTCATGATTTTATCTTTAAAATATATTTTGATAAATTAAGATAATGATATATTTCAATTACTCTTAACATCGACTTTTAGACAATGTGAGATTATGAACCTATCGAATAGTATATATTTATAATACAATACAATAAAAATGATTGAAATAAAAGATTTTTTATTTGCACTTACTTTTTAACATCAAAATGAATTTTATTACTTGATTAAGAAATTTAACTTGAGCATAACATATAATATATGTGACTTTAACTAACCAAAAATGAAATTGAATACAAAAGCTTTATAAATTTTGAGAATATACAAAACATACTTAAAAATTGATATCTACATCATATAGTTAAGAGTGAGATAATATTATATGATACAATAAAACATATATAAACAAAGATATTTACAATAAATTATCGAGGATAAAATTTACTTATAGACATCTCATTGATTGAGGATAGTACAGAATTGTTGGTAGATTGTCTTGGTTCATGTGCAACAATTGGATCCATTCTACGGTTCAAGGAAAATGTTGGTTCAAGGGGAGAAGGCAAATCAACTGAGTGACCATTGAGACAAGACACAATTGACAACATTGTAGGTCTTGCATCTAGATTTTCTTGAACACATAATAACCCAATTTTAACACATCTCATAACTTCAATGTTAGAATGATTTCCTTCTAATTTTGGATCTAATGTGCTCAATGCTGTTTCATCCCTCCAATGTTCCCAAACCTGTCATAATAGGTAAGTTTAGTCAAAGCATTACGCTTTTTAGCTTTTACCTTGTACACTAATTAAGCATAGCGAATACTAAATCAAAAGCATGACAAGATTATTGTACTCACAAAATTAAGAAGACCGTTAACAATACGATGTGGTTCGTAATAACCTATGTTCTTTTTGCCACAAATAATCTCCAGAACCATAACTCCAAAACTATAAACATCTGATTTCTCAGAAAATTGTCCACACATAACATACTCTGGGGACATATAACCACTGCAAAATTAGGAGAAATCACACATAACAGTAAGTATATTATCAAGTGATGAGAAGTGTATGAATGAGGATTCAAACAAAACTTACTATGTTCCCGTGATTGTCTTTGTATTTCCTTCTTGTTGATCTTTTTCAACAATTCTAGCCAGACCAAAATCTGAAATTTTTGGATTCATGTTTTCATCTAATAGTATATTACTAGGTTTGAGATCACGATGTATAACTTTAAGTCGAGAATGATCGTGTAAATACAGAATTCCTCGAGCAATCCCTTCTATTATTTTGTAACGCTCAGACCAACACAGAATTTGGTCCAATTTAGTATCTACAAAGAATATTCATCGTGTGGAAAAAACTAAGTGATCCATGTTTTGCAATCAATCACTTCAATTATTTTAAGATATAATACATTAAATATTTTAAATAATGTTAAAGTCAGATAGAAATGAAAAGAAATCAAACCAAATAAGAAGTAGTCCAAACTCTTGTTTGGTACGTATTCATAGATAAGTATTTTTTCTTGTTCATCGAGACAAAAGCCTCTGAAAGCCACTAAATTTCTATGTTGAAGTTTGGCTATCAAGAGAACCTCATTTTTGAACTCCTCTGCACCTTGCTTCGAATTTCTCGAAAGTCTCTTCACAGCTATAGATGTTCCATCGATAAGAATGCCCTAAAAATGTAGATAATCACTTATGTTAAAAATAATAACATAATAAAAAAATTAACACATTTTCTTCTAGCTACCTTGTAAACTTCTCCAAATCCACCTTTGCCTATCTTATTGTCATCGGAGAAGTTGTTTGTTGCTGCTTCAATTATTGCCAAATTGAATTGCAATGACTCTATAGTGGAACTTTCAAGTCCAACTAAAAGAACACCTCAATCATTAAAACCCAGTTTGTAAATTTGTTTAAGTTTATTCTAAATGAATATAAAGAATTAGAATTTCCTCTTTCTTGTTTGCTATACTCACAATTTTCTATGAGAATGACTCTATTCCTCTTTCTTGTTTTTCTTCGCATCAAATAATAATAAACAGTGAAAATTAGTCCCAATAAAGTAAAAGTGGAGGTAAGGATCAAGATAATAGTTCGGGATCGATCTTTGCCTGTATTAAAAATAAAATAATAACACGCCATTAGGTCATGGTGTATTGATAGCATGAAAAGTGACTTGTTTATGCGAGAGTATGCATTTTTACATAATTGCACTTGAACATGCTTTCTTGAAAAAGTTTTTATTTTGATGTTACTTGTGGAACAAATTAAAGAGAGGTGATGAGTTTCATCTCTTTTGCAAGGAGCATGGAGAATGTTGTGTAAAAAACTATTGCAGGAATGAAGTTATTTGTAAGAAAAATCCAAGTTGAAAAAGTGACGAGGGTAAAGAGAGAGGGAATAACAGAGATATATGATAATATGCTATAAAAAATAAAAATATAATGATAATAAAAATAAGAAGAAGAAGATGACAGAAGAAGAAAAACCTGGCGATGGAACGAGGGTTTTTGGTGGATCATCCTTGACGAGGCCATAGAAAGGGTACAACTCATACCAAATGTTACAACTCGGAAACATAACTCTCGCTCCTTGTTTTCCCTCACAGCACGTTGGAAGCTGTCCAATTGCTTCAGCAAGACAAGTTCTGCAGTTTTGCCGTGACAAATCTTGTGTGCACTGAGCGAGAGCGTAAAGGGTCTCAGAAAGAGACAAGTTTGCTTCCTTAGTTGAGAACCTTCCACCCGAATCCGCTGCTGCTTCTGCGGTTCGGTTCATGGTGTCGCGCAAGAAGTTCATGAAGCTGCTTGTGGAACCGGAGACATTCTTAACGTTGAAAATAAAATATTCTGGAGACGTGGCCAAGGTGGAGAAGAAAGGCACGTTGGAATACCGAAGCATGCATTCAGCGTACCACATCACAGCCTCTATGGACTGGGAACATTCTGGGTCTGTAGATAGCTTAAATGTTGCGTTCCCCACGCATTCATTGCACAGGCGTAAAGGTATGTCACCCCTACACATGAACAAACCATACACCGTGTTGTTTATTGTGGTGTTGTAGAATAATTTAGCAATGGCGTTGGAATTGAAGGAAGAGAGGAGGGTTATCAGGTTTTGGTTGGTGCTGGTCAAATATGTCATGTTTGTACTGCAGTTTTGGTGCACAAAATAAACCTGGTCCTGGTTCTGAGCTTTAGCGGTTGGGAAGTTGAAGAAGGTAATCACAAAGGTACAAAGAAAGACAAGAAAGATGAGGTTATTGGAAGGCATGGTTCTGTTCATGTTCAACGATGGATGGTTTGATCTTCACTGTCCAGATTTTCTTGTGTGTTGTAATGGAAACTTAACAAAACTTGGGAAGATTAGTGCGCGCATGCATTGGCAAGTCAATGACCTGGGCGAGTCAAAGTCAACCACTCTCTCGTTGTCTTTATAATTTTTTTTAACTATATTATATGTGTCCAGAATGTCTCCAAGGAAGTTAGAAAATGTCAAAATGTGATACCAAAAATATAAATTTTCATTTCACATTAAATAATTATACCCATTCGTTGGATGAAAAGAAATGTGTTGAGACGATAATGTTTTTTTTTTTCTTTTTCGTTAGAATTGTTTTTTCTACCTTTTATTTGCTGTTAGAATAAAACCGTTAACAAAAAGGTATTAATATTATGGGAATATATATTTTCTCTAGTAAAAAAGAAAAACCTTGATATCATACAGTCAAATATCATACTTTTACTGTTTTAAATCTCCAACTTTTAAATAGAAATATATCATATCAATAAAATTTATGAATTAAGAAAAAAATTCTCTCCAACAAATTCCAAAATAAATTTAATAAAAATATCCACCTTCTCTTTTGATTATTTGTTCTCATTTTTTTTTCTTCCTTCTATATTTTCATCTTTTTCCTATTTTTTTTTACTGGAATACTGCTCAAATGAAACTCAAATGCATCCAAAATGGGCTTGATGTTCTACTATTTTTATTCGTATTTTTCTAAAACTTTATATATATATATATATATATATATATATATATATATATATATATATATATATTTCCTTATGTATAGAAGTTATGTATTATAGAACAAAGAGGTAGACTTGTGTGGGATGTCACAGGGTGTAAAACAACATTTAAATTAAACTAATAAGAGAAAATAAAATAAAAAGGAGCATAAACACGTGGTTTAGTATTTTTTGATACAAAGTATTAGCTAGGTCAAAATTTATGTGATTATAATAATATTATGCAAACAAGTGCATTATTATCTATTGTTTGGTTTTATTATTATAAGTTTGCATTGTAAATTCGTAATTTTACTAAACACAAAATTTATTTTAATGATGCATTTTAGTTTATGATAATTTCATTAATATTGGTTGAAAACATGTAAACAAAAAAAACCTCTATTAAAATCTTAATTTACAATTGATAAATAATCTTACTAATATCAATAAATAAACTTAGTAATAATTCGACTTAAACTTAAAAAAAAAAAAAAAACTCTTGCTATGAAACATCAACATCTCCATTTAAGTCAAGTCCACGAAAGAATATGAACAGAAAGTGTATAGATTTAATAGAGAAAAGGGTATGCAAAAATTTACATTCTTTTATTTTTTTAACTTGAAATTTGAAATATTTATTTTAAGGAGTTAAGTTATTCTCATAATTTTTTGAAATTTTAATTTCCTTTGAAAATTCCCTATTCAAACAATATTTGTTTACCATAAAATACTTTATTTTTTTTTTATAAAATAACAAATCATTATCTATAAATTCTCTGTTCAAAGAGTTTGAAATGATATAGAGGTTTAATATATAACGTAGTTTTAACATTTAACGACTAAAATAAAAAAAACTGTGACATTTATTATTCAGAGTTTGCAATACAATGAATTATTGACGCATTTAAACTCCAATAGTTTTAGTGGAGGATTCAGCATTCTTCTGGAAATATTGAAGACCAGTCAAAATTGTTATCAATGATTGAAAGAAATCTATTTCTTACAAATTAAATAAGTAGAAGACTTTTAGTGGTAAAGGTGCAATAAATAAAATAATCTAACATATTGATCTTTCCTTCCTCTTGAAATAAATTATTCCATTAGATATTTATTTACAATGTTATTCTTATATATTAGGAGGTTATTCTTATGCCATAGATAAATTATACAACATAATATAATATTTTATTTTTAAATATTAACACAAAATTAGGTTATGAAATTTTCTCAGTTATTCATTTTTTTATCCAATTCGAGACTTCAAATAGACTTGAATTCTCAACCATCTTACTTTCAAGTATAATTTCCTTTCACATTAGTACATCATCTAATCCTTTCGAGAGAAAATATTTTTTAATCATAAATATCTAATATTAACTTGTATATATGAAAAAGAATTTTGATATAAGATTCTATAATATAAAAATTTTCATCTATTTTTAATTATACTCGGTTGAGCCAATTATCACATCAATCATGTTCTCTGTTCCATTATTAGATTATGAAAGTAATGAAGATATTAGTGAAATACTTTGACAAAGATCTCATTGATTTGATGAAGTCAAAGATGAAGTCAAAAGTCTACTTTGCAGCAGTCAACAAGTCACTCAGATAATAGAGTTAGAGGATTAGTGTGTCTACAGAATGCTTAGGTAAAATCATTTTACCTTTTCTGCTGCATGAGTTTCTTCACTTAAATGATTTTGCAAAATGCCTCTAAAATCGTTTTAAACAAATTAAAAACAAAGCATTTTGACAAAAGCTTTCTTAATAATGTTTTTAACTGATATAGTTTTGAAAGAACCGATTAAAATCACTTAGAATGTTCAAAGAAGTGTTTTTACAGTATTTTAATCGATACAAATTGCTTTTAATCGATTAAAACCATTTAGAACTCATTATGATCGATCAGAATACAAATATGACCGATCAGAATCATATGTGATCGATCAGATTTGAATTATGAGCGATCAGAATTTTTTCAATCGATTAAAATACGTTTCAATCGATTAGAATCACTTAAAGGGTAAGAATGATCGATCAGAATGCAGTTATGACCGATCAGATTTGATTATGATCGATCAGAATTGAATTATGACCGATTAGATATGTTTCAATCGATTAAAACGCATTTCAACCTATTAAAACAACTTGGAAAAATTTTGTACAGAGTTTTAATCGATTAAAACCTATGGTTTATCAGTTAAAATAACTTGAAAAGTTTTATAAGAAAGTTTGCAGTATTTCAATCGATTAAAACGCTAAAGAATCGATTGAATTAACTTAGAAGATTTTTTGTAAAGTGTTTTCACTACTGCAGAAGGAGCATTCAACGTCGGGTGTAGAAGGCTTTCAACGTCGGTTCCAATGACGTCGTTGAATCAGACGTCGTTGAATGTCAAAGGATTCTACGTCGGTTCATCATACCCGACGTTGAAAGTGGTAGACATCTACGTCGGTTATTGAACTAACCGACGTTGAAGTCGCTCAAGCGACCCGTGTACTCGCTTGAGCGACGAAGCCTTCAAACCAAAGGGACCCTCGGTTGTTGTTTCGCTCAAGCGACCGAGTTTTCGCTCAAGCGACCGACGTCACAACGTCGGTTAATGCAAAGGCGACGTAGAAATGAGTAAATTCTACGTCGCTTATTGGATAACCGACGTTGAAAGTCCTTTATCGCTCAAGCGACCGGTGTACTCGCTTGAGCGACGAAGCCTTCAAACAAAGGGGGCGCTCGGGTGCTGTTTCGCTCACGCGACCGACGTTTCGCTCAAGCGAAAGACGTTTCAACGTCGGTTAATGCAATAACCGACGTAGAATATCCATTTTTTTTTTAAATTTTGGTCTGTTTTTGTGCTACCATACACGACCTGCTATATAAATCTCAGTCCAGCCAGATTTACACAATACATAATATATACACAATACACAATCTCAGCCAGATTCACATAATCACTATATATTTACACAATACACTTACAATCTCAGTCCAGCCACATTATGTACATAATACACAAAAATTATCAATCAATCCTATTATTCCTAACTACTTGCACAAACCTTTCTGCCCATTTGTTTCTAACCATGTCTATTGTATCCATAGGCAAAGGTTCTATATCTTTAAATGCCTGTAAGAAGTTCACAATAATAGAATGGTAAACCCTAAGCAATAAAAATAAAGGAATTGAATATAATAGCAAATGTCAACTTACCTCGTCCCAACTATCCTGAATGCAACCAAAAATGATGAGCCATATCCAATACATTACATAGTAGCCGCACTCGTAGCCTCCATTTTGTTTGTTACACTAAAAATGAGTATATATATTAAAAATAACTATTAAATTTGAACGTAAATTAATAGATAGTATAATATATATAAAGGCTACTTACTTTCATAAAATTCCAATTTGGAGTCTGTGCTTTTACTTGTGTGTTTTCCATCTAATGTACTACAAACCTTTAAAGCACTATATATTGAAAATAAGGGGATTAGAAATAGAATAATCAAGATGTTTAGACATAATATAATAAATACTTACTCGTTTACAATATTTTTTAGCTCCATGTCCGGTTTTCTTCCCAATGAGCAGTAACCAACACACAAGATTCTCGCTTTGGACAAATAACTAATAGCCGTCAAGTGGTTTTTGTATATACACATGATTAGAATCTATTAAAAAAACTTGTGTAAAACCGGAAGAGGCTGGGATAACTTACGAATGATGGTATGCTCCAAGGTAAATATCTCTTTTAGAGACAAGTCATCCAATTCTGGATGTAACCGACAATTTGATCACGCTTATTCCCGGACTTTTGTATGGATTGAGGCTCGAAGAATCCATACACGTGACCAATGCCCCGCTCCACTATCATTTCGTGCATCATCCTAAAATATGCCAATTTAAGTGAACTTATAGCTTATATATTTACTAAAATGAAAAGAGTCATGAAAGATATGAACTTACAATGTCCAAAATTGTAAAACAGACTATATTTAGACATTGATTGCCCATCCCAATCTCCAGGGCATCGGTGTGGGAAATGTAGAGGGGGATATTGCTAGAAGCCATCCCAAATAATGTACAATCCCATGGAACTTGGAATGACTGCATATATAATTGTGGGGAAAGAGACAAGAGATCAAAAATGGGATTTGGAGAAGTCTCCACAACTCGGTGTCTTCTCCTTAGATGCGTAAGGAGTGACAATAGCTTTACCCAAGTCTTTTGGCTGCCGAACATCCTACATATTTTATAAAATATAATCATAAACAATAAATCAATT